TATGTCAATGTGTTGAGCGAAGTGTGTCAATGGTAAATGTCTTGAGAAGACTTTTTCTTGAAACGATGTCATGTGTAATATTTATCTCGTAGGTCATTGGTATCTTGTCAATAGCTACGGTTGGCTGTGCTTATTGTCCATTATCGTCACGAGATCCTTCACAACGTCTACAAGCTCTTGTCAATCAGACTCAGAGCCGTCTAGTTTTGGTTCATGGAATTACATCAGCTGTTTTTAGCCCCGATAATCTAACTCTAAATATTGACTGCATTATTCGTCTCGAAGAAAGATTTAGTGAAATTAATCTGAATAAACTGTCAAATGTTCCTGTAACACCAGAAACTGTTGCCTTTGTAATTTTTACTAGTGGTTCAACTGGTATTCCAAAAGCGGTTTATATAATACCTGTTTCTTTTGACGTATGATCTAACACTCTTTTACTTAAAATAGGTTCAACTGCGCCATCGAAACTTCAATAAGTTTATGCATTCATTTGTGAACATTGATGTAGTAACAGAGTCTGACATAATAATACAGATGGCTCGATGCTCCTTTGACAATCATCTGCTAAGCTTAGTCGGTACATTAGTTATTGGTAGCACATTAGTGATGCTTCGACCGGAAGGCAATATGGATTTAGAATATCTTGCCAGAGTTCTCGATCAAAAGCAAATAACTGTCATGCATGCTGTTCCGTCGCTTCTGAACAGTTTATTCGAGTTTCTCACAATAACTGCGCGTACATCAGCAGTTAAATGTTTACGATCTCTGTGCAGCGGCGGTTAGTACTTATTTTTTGAACGACTAAAGTATTAATGATTTCTTTGAATTAATTGTTTCTAGGCGAAGCTGTTAATGTTAAGCAAGTTAGTCTATTTCAAACTTTAGTTGCAGAGCAATGCCGAGTTCGAAATCATTATGGCCCAGCCGAAATCACGATCAATTGTGCTTGTTATTTAGTTGACCTGAGCAAAAGCCAAACAAGCATTTCTATAGGTCAGCTGTTACCCAACTATCAATGTCTGATTCTGGACGATTTTTCACAGTTTGCCCGTACTGGCTATGAAGGACAATTGTTAGTGAGTGGTGTGGGTATCTTTGCTGGATACTTTAATCGTGATGACTTGACGGCAGAAGCAATGATCAATATCAACGAGGAAATGTACTATAAAACAGGTGATCTTGTAAGAATGGACAGCAACGGTCTTCTTTATTATCAAGGAAGAAAAGATCATCAAATCAAACTACATGGACAAAGAATTGAACTTGGTGAAATCGAACGATGTTTACTTAAAATTACATCCATATCTGCGTGTGTTGTCATGAAATATAATGAGGATCATCTGGTTGCTTATGTTCAATCATCTCATATAAATGAAGAACAACTTCGTCAACATTGTCAATCTCATCTTCCACCACATATGATTCCATCTTTCTTTATCATACTTGATAAACTACCTTTGAATCAAAATGGAAAAATAGATCGAAATCAACTTCCTGCACCCGACGTTTTTCTGTCGACTTTGTCATCGTCTGATAAATCTGATACGCCTTTTAATCAGCTCGAAGAACGTATACACACTATTTGGTGTCAAGTTCTTCATTTTAATGAAAATCACATTGCTGGAACTACAAGTTTTTTCAGTGTTGGTGGTCATTCGCTTTTATTTATTCAACTTTATCATCATTACCAAACAGTATTTAACTTTGATGCTCAAACACTTTCGATTGCACCATTTCTCCAACAACCAACTATATTTCAACATTCACAATTACTTCAAACAGTTTTAATCAGTAATGTCACGGCAACGCAATGGTACACGTTAAATATAAATGAAGGTAGAAATATTTACTCGAGAATTATTGTAATAATTTCTGTTGTTTAATTTACAGGTATTGGCTCGTTTGCTCAAGAACGTATATTTCTTGATGAAAAAGTTCGTTTTTCGAGTGATATTGCTATCTATAATGAACTGTCCACTTTACAAGTTGTTCAGGGGTCAGTATCGTCCGCTCGTTTATCACAAGCATTTCGATATGTTATGAGCAAACATAAAATATTACGTACATCTCTCATATTCAACAATGATGATGGTATTTTGAAACAGTGTGTCACTGATATATATAAAACATTCACAATAACTATGAATCAAACATTTGAAAATGAAAATGAACTTCGAGATGTTATTTATCAAACAACTATTAATCCTAATCTCTTCGATTTAGCATCTGGTCGTGTTTTTCATGCTGAAGTTCTGAAACATCAAATATCATTAAATGAAAATGAGAA